AACCTAATAGCGATTGCCTGCAGCCTACTAGCGATGGCCTCCAACCTGCTAGCGATGGCCTCCAACCTAATAGCGATGGCGATGGCCTCAAACCTAATAGCGATGGCGATGGCCTCCAACCTAATATAGTAGCGATGGCCTCCAACCTAATATAGTAGCGATGGCCTCCAACCTAATAGGGACGGCCTCCAAGCTGATAGCGATGGCCTCCAACCTAGCGATAGCCACCAGCCTACTAGCGATGGCCTCCGACCTAATAGGGAGGGCTTCCAACCTAATAGCGATGGCCTCCAACCCCCTAGCGATGGCCTCCAACCTAATCATAGCGATGGCCTCCAAGCTAATCATAGCGATGGCCTCCAACCTGATTACTAGCGATGGCCTCCAACCTAATTACCAGCGATGGCCTCCAACTGGCCTCCAACCGACTAGCGATGGCCTCCAACCTAATAGCGTTGGCCTCCAACCTAGCCAACGATGGCTTCCAACCTAGCGATGTCCTCCAACCTAATAGCGATGGCACCAAACCTACTAGTGATGGCCTCCAACCCCCTAGCGATGGCCTCCAACCTAATCATAGCGATGGCCTCCAAACTAATCATAGCGATGGCGTCCAACCTAATCAAAGCGATGGCCTCCAACCTAATCATAGCGATGGCCTCCAACCTAATCATAGCGATGGCCTCCAACCTAATTGCTAGCGATGGCCTCCAACCTACTAGCGATGACCTCCAACCTAATAGCGATGGCCTCCAACCTAGCCAACGAATAGCAATGGCACCAAACCTACTGGTGATGGCCTCCAACCTAATCATAGCGATGGCCTCCAACCTACTAGCGATGGCCTCCAATCTAATTACTAGCGATGGCCTCCAACCTAATAGCGATGGCCTCCAACCTAGCCAACGATGGCTTCCAACCTAGCGATGACCTCCAACCTAATAGCAATGGCACCAAACCTACTGGTGATGGCCTCCGACCTAGTAGCGATGGCCTCCAACCTACTAGCGATGGCCCTGCGCAGGCAAAGCCAAAGTGACAGGTCAAAGGTAACTCCCGAGAAACACAAAAACCTCTGCTGACCTCAATGCCTTAGAAGGCGCGCAGGCATCGTTAGCAACTGTGGCTTTCGGTGTTTTCTTTTTCTTGCTTCTTGGGATCTTTTTGGTGTTACTTGGCCAGATGTTTTGATTGCGGCGAACTAACTACGGCTTGGCTGGGTGGGCCAGGTCGTGACGTAAAACATGGCAAACCTATACTGACATAGACTTAACAAAACAGCTTCGCCAATATGAAGATAGGAAATCTGGGCAACCTTTTTTATGCATGTCTCATGAGCTACTGTATATTTTATACTCTCCTGTTGCTTCAGCCAAACTGTGAAACCGATGCGAGAATGCAAAGTCCGTGATCATTGGCGCATAGCTCATTGAATGCGGAGGGCCCTTGGAGAAAACACACTAAAACGGTAAAAAATAGCTAAAAGAACAGTGGTTAAAACCTAAACACGCTTTACAGCGGCGGCCAACCAACTTGCTCCGATGCATCCAAAGCCCCAGGGCCAGTAATCATGCTGTGACCTTGTTTTGCAACTCCCATGTTTGTGTTGCTTTATGATTGTCTATTGAAACATCAAGCATCATTACATGCCAATGACCTTTCCTTTGATGCTTCCAGGACACCATTCGAGAAGTTGCCGCAAGTGCTGAACCATCAGGTGGGCCAAAAAGATTGTCCACCATTGCAACCGCTCTTGATGAATGCTTCAATCTAACAGTGGGACTCCAGGGGCTGACTGCTTGCTGATAGATGAAAACATCGAGGTGATCGAAAGGCGCTACATACAATCTTTGAGAAGTCCAAGCATTGACTTCAGGTGACACCTGAAAGGCCAAATCCAACGGCAGCGGCCATTGTGTGTGTGCTCGTATCAACTGCCAGGTGCTTCAGTGCTCCGTCTGTGGAGGAGACCCAAACTATGCCCACCTGCCTAGAAATCTTCAGAGTGACATCAACGCTCCGTGGATAGAACGTGACAGAACCATAGTGATTCCGTCAGGCTTGTGAATCTACTGTTGAATTCCAGGGCGTGATTATTGTGATTATCTGATTATTTTTATTGGTTGAGGCGTTTTTTCATGCACTCATCGCGTGGAGCAACCGCCAAAATGTGCGATGACTAATTCAGTAGCGAGCGGTCGTGATTTTCAGGAATTTGGGCGAACAAACCCGCTAAAAGCGGTAGGCCCCCCTCAAAAGCATAGCCTTTCTGAATGCCCTCTACTTGACAGCTGGACACTACGTTTTGGCAGATGCTCAAATGAGTGAGGAGATCATTGCTCGTCTCAAGACAGACGGGAGCGATTTTGCGGTGGTCACCTTGCAAAAGATGTTTCAGCGGGA